AGAACGGAGGGAATATATAATACAAATGTCTAAATCTAAACTAAAAAGTCGGATTAAATTAAACCTCAATATCGTACATACATACTTTTTTTACAACACATACATTTGTAAATAAAACTTTAAAAGAAGCATAACACACACACAACAGAGAGAATTAATGCTTTTTTATGGTGAATTAATGCTACTAACACTATATTTGATTTAACGAATTTGAAAATGAAAAGAATAATTTTGTTCAAAAAAATAATTTTGTTCATGAAGCGAACATAGGACCTGTTTGGGAATAGCTTTAGAGATTAGCGTTAGCGTTTTGGATTAAAATTTAACGGTGTAGATTATTTTGAAAACGCTAACGCTAAACGCTGCCCGTAGATAGCCTTTTCAAAACGCTAACGCTAATCGCTAACGTTGTTCCCAAACAGGCCAAAAATATAGTATCTTAGAAAAAGATACAACAAACAAAATAATTTAGTTTTCAAAAAAATAAAATAATCTAAATAGACCGAAGCTGAAACTATGGAAGGAAGCATCCTAAGCACTTCCAAACCTCCAAAGAGCACTTCTACCACTGACAACTTGTGCAAAGCATCTGAAGTATAATCCAAAGTGGAAAACTCTGCAATGTATTGCTCATGACCTACGTCTCCTCTTGTTGAAAAATTTTTGCTCCATAAAACCTACACCCTTAATCATCATTCAATGAAACTAAATCAATCAAAAGCATACAAAATAGTCATCTCCGGCCCTAAAAGCCAACGTTACACATTAGCCAAATAAATCACTGCTTATCTTACTCCAAATTGAGCTAATCTTCTTGGCCACAAAAAAACATGCAATACTTGATTATTAATAACTCCAAAATAATAATAACATTAATAACAATATAACAACAACTATAATAATGAATGAATTATTAAAAGAGTAAAAATGCAATACAAAGTACTCTGTATATGATAAGATAAAGTATACAAATAAATATTTGGAAACTTCGTAGTTAGCTTCAAATGATTTGATTCGTAATAATCGGTTTTAAATTTTTAAATCACAGTCTGGTCTCATTTGATATCAGTTTATGTTCAATTCGGGATGGAAAAAAACAATGTCAATTCAGTTGTAAGCCTATTTAAAAACGCGATAATATGACATTATAATTATGGACATGTTACCTCGATTTCTTTGCTTATCCCTAGCCCATTTACCCTAGGCCATTGGGCCTCGATAATTTCTTTACCTATTTGAATTTATGGCCTCCGTAATCTCCATGCATCGTGGAGGATTATATAACTTCAAAACGAACGTGTAAAAGCCCAAAAATCAAAATTTTAAGGCCCAAATATAACAATACCGACTTCCGAGATAACCTCGCAACGCAAGGCAGCGACAGTCGATCGAGACGAGCATCGGAGAAGAAGATTTCGCCGGAGCGGAGTTCACCGCCATGGATTTTTCTCGTCTCACCGACGCCATGGCCGCCAAATCGTACGATAAGATCGCTTCGATATGTGAAGATCTCATGATTACGGTAAACTCTCGAAACCCGCCGATATCTTCCTCTACTCACTGTCACTTCGCCGTGTTTTTTTGTTTCTTCCTCAGATCGGAAGCCTAATTTTTGCTCATTTGTTTCGTAATCTAGTCTGCTGCAAAGGGAGTTGCGTTCCATGAAGAATGGCCATACGCGGTTCATCTCTTAGGGCACCTTTACAACAACGAGATGTAATCGTAGTATTCTCTCAGATACTCAGTGTTTTCTGCACTTCGATCTTCATATGACTTCGTTTTGATTTTCCTGTTTGCATTTCCTTTTGTTTGTTTCAGCTCTAGTGCACGTTTTTTGTGGAAGACTATACCAGTGGGGATAAAGGAGAGCCGGCCGGAATTGCTGGCTGCTTGGAAGATTGGGCAGAAGCTATGGACTAGGGACTATGCTGGAGTTCATGAGGCCTTACGTGGGTACGACTGGAGCCCGGAGGTCAGGGAGATTGTGGACTCCTTCGCAGGCAAGCTTGCTTAATCCCTAATTCCTGAATATTTATGGTATTGGGGTCTGGGTATTTGAACACACATGTACAATTGAGAGAATGATATAATCTTGTAGAATATATGGGGTTGAAGAATAACTTGGTTTAAATAATGCATATTACCACAATACTTATGAAGAAAGATTCATATAAATTTTCTCTTTGAACTGTAAAAGATTAATTTGTTTTATTGTTTACAAGCTATCCATATTAGCTTCAAGTCCTAACCTAATGTACCGAGTATATGAATTTGCAATTGGTGCGTGATCAATTGATATTATGCAATATGTTAGCTTTTCACTTTTCACCCATCGTCTACAATAAGGGTCATATTCTGCCTTCATAATCTTTAGGAACACTCATACTTTCGTCATGATCAATAAATTGATGGTTCAATTAACGATGCTTAGCTACCCAAGTCACCATTTCCATTTTTTGCAGACCGTTACACGAAAAAGATCTTTGATCTGCTAGTTTCTGCTTATTCAACCATAAGTGTTCAAGATACCGCTCTCTTCCTTGGAATGAACGTTGAAGATGCTACAAAGTGTAAGTTTTTCCTGTTGTTAGACGAGCACACCTTGTTCTCTCATGATTGTGTTTATATCTTTTTCTTACGTTTCTTTTCTATTTGCATGGTGATTTCGTTTGTTTGGTTTGATATACTCCACAATCCCCATTTGGTCTGCAAAATGATTCATTACTGTATAACTTTATTTGACTTTCACCAATCCTCGAGGTCGATTTGAAACTGGGAAAATGCCACAGAGATAGAAGTATAGAACACGAGAAGGAAAATGTGGGCAAATTTGGAAGCAAACAAAACTGGGGGAAATAAAATCTGGCTTGGACTTATTCCATTTATATATTTATTTCTACAAAGACTAGAAATCCAAATGAGCACAATGCATTAAAAAGTTCTAATCAAATTTGACTTGCCTTCATATTTTCCAGGTTAAAACCAAACATAAAAACACTACCTTTTCTTGGCATCTATTTCCCCCCCTAAATCCTTCTATTCTCCGGGCTTTAGACATAGCCCTTACGTGTTAGAGGAATGCATAATCAAATTTGACTTGCCTTCATATTTTCCAGGTTAAAACCAAACATAAAAACACTACCTTTTCTTGGCATCTATTTCCCCCCCTAAATCCTTCTATTCTCCGGGCTTTAGACATAGCCCTTACGTGTTAGAGGAATGCATATTTTGAAAAGACAGAGGGTAGTGTATGAGCATCTTAGATTCTTTTGTAACCTAATTCTGGGTTTCTTTTTTTACCATAATTGTTAGCAAAATAGCTTCTGTTCCTCCAAGTAAACATGCCGTAATTGTTTTTTGCTCCTTGTTTGCGCAGATGTTTTAGAACAGGGTTGGAGTTTGGATGCGGCGTCTCAAATGCTGACAGTGAAAAGGCAAGTGATAGCGAAAGCGCAAAAGTTAGACGACAGCACATTGCAGCGGTTGACAGAATACGTTTTCCACCTCGAGCACTAATCAAACTATTCTCACTTCTTTCCGTGTCTTGTTTCCCCTAGTAAACTTCTGCTCACTGTTTATTAGTACTACCATTGAAGCTAACGATAAGCTGAGTAGAAGATTTTTGATGGTTCAAACTTTCTTGATCTTGATGTTAATGGGTCTCAGCAATCTGTCCAAAGAGTAGAAATTGCCCCTTTTTTGTAATCAATCTAACACTATGTCTCCCCTCGATTACGAGGCAAAATCTCATGTTTTTTAAAATTATTTTATTTTAAAACTAGTACCCCTAATATAAGATTATGAAATAAAGCTTATATACTAAAAACTATGTCAATAATTCTACAAAATAAGAGATAACAAAAATATTCTACTTTATCAAACAATCAGTAAAAACACACAAATAAAAAAAAGTTTGTAAAAATGGAACCTTAGATGCTTTCTAAGCAGATAAATTTGGTGATCGTGATTGATTTAGATATGAGAGAGATAATACTCGGTAATGTTCTTATAAATCTTTCATTAAAGAAAATGGAATCATATATATTTCATAAATGGAAAAAAGAACGAAATCTCTTAGGCCTCGTTTGGTACATGGAATTCAAAGTATGGAATTGGAATTGAGGATTTCAATTTTAATTCTGGTGTTTGGTATCAAACAACTTATGTGAATTTGGAATTGATAGTACAAAAAATGAATTGGAATTGTTGAATTCAATTATATGTAATTGAATCTCATGGAATTTCAATTTTAATTCAATTCCAATTCCTTCAATTCCGTATACCAAACGGACCCTTGGGCTAATTTTTATGTGGTCTTAAAGTGCATGTTTATTTTATGGCCTTTAGTGCATTTACATGTTACTCGCTTTTTGGTTGTTTAATGACCATTAAAGAGTGGGAGGAGACAATTCATTTATTATCTTCTTAATGACGATTAAAAATACTCCGTAGATTTTTTTTCATTTTATCTATAATGGTTTTATGTTAATAAAGCTTATGACTTTCACTTTTTAGTTCCTTTTTTTCTTTATTTATCTTTTTCTTCGCTTCATTTTCTTTTTTCAAGAAGTTTTTTCACTTTCTTTTGAAACTATTTTTCAAAAATTCAAAATTGTACGGAGTATGTTCTAATAAAAAAATAAATGCAATTAAATACATTTTATAATAGTCATTAACAAAATAGAGGACGAAATATTCCGTCTTAGTCTTTACAACAAAATGTTACAACAAAATGTAAGGCTCCCGAATGTCTTTTGTAAAATAGAGAGACTTTTGAATTATTTCAACAAAACTCACATCACTCGAAAGTAATTTTTTGTACAAATTCACTTCTTTTGTTCAAATATACTCCATCTTTTTTTTTTGTGGACCAGCATTTTCAAAACATGACTCTTTTTTTGGGAATATTTATATGAGTAGCATTTTAAGTTCACATAATAACACCATTATTCACAACATATCCACAACTTCTATATAATAAAACAAGAATTAAAATTAATCCAATAGTAAACAATTTATTTCTGATACTCTCAACTTTGGTGTCATTGTCGCGCAACCCGTGTTTGGTTGGAGGGGAGGGGAGGGGAGGGGAGGAAAACTGTTTCCCGCTAGTTTTGTTTGAAACACTTATTTAATATAGGATTCAAAATCATTTTCCATTACCATTTTTTGTAGGAGAGGGGAGAGATTGGGAAGGGAAACTTTTGAGTTTCAAATGTTAGAAAGGTGTTTTAAACCAAACAAGGGGGAATCAATTTTCATCCCCTCCAACCAAACACACCCTTATGCCAAGCCATTAACTTCTGCAACAGCATCCGTTCCGGAAACACATACGTCTTCCACAAATGGAACTGTCTTCCAGACTTTCATCTTCATTGGGTCACTAACCTCACCTACCAGGTTGAGAATAATAATATATAGATATAACCATACAATATTCAAATCTCATTATTCACAAAATTTGAATACAAGAGCTGTGCCTGACCTGCAGTTTTTGGACAATCTTTTTTGGTGCATATGGCAGCATAGTGAGAACCATCTAGCTCAATAAGGGCAAACTGCCAATTACTTGGGATTTTCTGGCGATTGTCACGGTAATCATCCACTGTTATGTCAAATGCCTGTGTCGATATATATATATATATATATATGGGCAGTGAGTGTGGGTGGGTGGGGTGGGGGGGGGGGGGCAAAACTTAAACATTTGAAATTTGAATCGTAATTATATGTGTAGTATACATGATTGCATGTTTGCTACACAAAGTAAAAGAATGTCATGTAGATAGAGGGGAATGAAGCTTGCCACTTAGTTCTAAGGAAAGGAGATTTCTTCATGTTTGGCACTCCACTTTTTCGGCTTGTCAGCCTATGGGCCAAATTTCATACCAAACACTAAGGGCATGTTTGGCGAGTTTTGGGGGGGTTGACGTGATAGGAGTCCTCAAGTCTAGAATAAATGATATGGGTTCTGAAGTCTAAAATGAAAGTGTTAGAAGATCTAAAATGATGATGGTTAGTGACAGACGTGGGGTGGTGGCCGATGTGGGGAGGGAGGTGGCCGGTGGGGTGGGTAGAGGTAAGGGCTACATCTCACCTCTCCCCCCCCCCCCACCCCAAAGCCCAACCCCTACTACGAAGTAGGGTATGTTTGGTTTGGTTTGAACCATTTGATCAAATTCAGATACAATACAAAGGAATTCAGCCTATCCAACATTTTAAGCCAAAAATTACCTCATACTAAAAAGACTCTTTATGTGTACCTTGTAACTTGAATTCAAAGAGAGATGAGGGCTTCCTCTGGCAGAGTTTTCAAAACGAACGGAAAATGTCTTGAAAGGAGCTCCAGAGAACCCTACACCCAGAGCTTTGACATATGCCTCCTGCAAGCAAATACATAGTAGTACACTAGAAATATGTTAATTAAATTGAGGTAGCATTAGTTGTAATCTTTTGATCAAGTGCTCTAGGGAGAAAAATGTTTGTATGAACAGTGGTGTGTGTGTGTGTGTGTGTGTGTATAGATAAATATTGTTTGTTTTATGTGCCTAATGACAAAAAAATCCAATATAAAGAACTCAAAAGAGAAATTATAAAACAGAATCAAATACATTTCAGAAAGCATAAACACCGACAAGAAGTGCCTGATCACAAGAATACTAAGCAATAGCAACTATTAAGAGGAGAACAAGGAGTAAACAAACAGCACCTTACAAAAGTGCATAAGGTGCCAAGTCATTCACATAAAAAACTGACCTTCAGGGTCCATAATTTTATAAATTCCTGGTGCCGAAGTTGGGAATCATTGATAGAATTTAAAAATTCATATTCGTTCTGGGAGAAGTATCTTCTTGCTAAATTCAAAATGTTGTTTGTCACAGTCCTTTGCTTTTCTTCAACATCGATACCAATCTACAAAGGAAAGCGTCAGCCATCAGCTTTGCATAAGTTTCTCACACACAAAACAATAATTAAAACATGACTCTTTTTTCAGACAAAGCATCTAGTAAGTAGTGTGTGTGTGTGTGTGTGAGAGAGAGAGAGAGAGAGAGAAATGATCAGAATACTAACAGGAGAATCAGCAGTAACACCGCATGCGACAAGAGAATTGGTGTGTGAGATGTTAAAATGCAATGGAGGTGACTCCCAATGATCAATGTGTTGCCATTCTACCTATCACCATTGATTTTAGATAACTTCCATACATTAATATGTAATAAGAACCATGTCCAGCCATAAGTGGAACCTTATTCCGGTATGGAGGGAGTAAAAATAACAACCTCTGGCTTCCCGTGGATGCTCTTTCTAAACTTCAAAGATCTCGGATCGGCATGAGAATCTATCTGATCTAAGCAAAACCGACATTGGCAGCAAACAGTATTGCAACTCAATTACACTACACACACAAATAAAGCTGAATGCCACAAAAAAAAAAGAAGAAGAACTACGAATATAAGACTTACATCTGGCTATGGTAGTTCGAACCAATGCCCGTGCAACCAAAGCAGTTTTCTTGTGCTCATCTCCACCCAAAAGCAGCACGTTTTCCTTCTCAGTTGGTGAGAGAATTTCCATGTATTGTTTTAAAAGTGCCTCACTCTTCACTTCATTGGGTTTTACATACCAAAAATGTGCTTCTCTAAGATATTAATAAAACAAACCCCACACAACCCTCATCAAGAAAACTCAAACCCAAAACTATTTCATTGGAAAATTCATTTTTTTTTCCAGGGTAAAACAAAGACAACCAGAAAAAAAAAATACAATAAAATAAAATGGAAAGGGTGCAATTGAAGAGTACTTTGGAGATGGGAGTTTTATGGGAGACAAATGGGATGACGAAGTGAACATTTTTCGACGAAAGCTACACTGCATCCCCATTCCAAAATCCAAACTAAACCCTTTCACGGCAACGAATTGAAACTTTGTTTCCCTTTCTCCTGTCATCATCATAACGAAAAAATTAAATTCAATTTGATAAATTCTAGAGAAGAATACTCAACAAGATTCCTCAGGACCTGTTTGGTGAGCAAATCAGTGTTGGAATGAAATGGGTTCTGGAAGGGATAGAATGAATTTTGCAATCTGAAACAAAATTGTTCGGAGAAAACAGAAATAAAATCAAGTCTCACTCTCCATGCTGTTTGTTGAGCAGAAAAATGGCAAAAGAACTAAGTGAAAAATCGAGAAAAAAAAATACTGATTCGTGCTTGGATATTAGATGCGCCGTTCATAATAACACCTTCTTCTCCGGCACGGCGGCCGGACGGAGACACTGAATACCCACTGGCGGCGCGCCTACAGCCGAGACCCAGAGGAAGATGAAGAAATAAATGAGAGAGGAGAGAGATACCGGTGCGTTTATTTCTTATTTTTCCGTCTATTATTTATATGTTTTTTTCTCTTTTTTATCTATTTATTTCATTTTCCTAGAAAGATTTTTAAAATTTACTTTCAATTTTTTATATTATGTTAAAAAGTTCAAAATTCTTTCTGTCTGAAATAAAAATAAAAAATTAACATGTAGTCCATATATATCATATTAAACATTTTCACTTTGTTGTTTAGAATAATTTTTTTGCTAAGTTCATAAGGAAAATCTAGAATAAAAAATATAAACAAAAATTTAGAATTGACACCAGTGCCACTTATGGTTTGGAAAATAGGTACCAATGCTCTCTCTTCACTGAAAAAATGGTCAGAAAATGATCAGAGGAGTATATATGCAACGTTTTGAAAGCACGAAGACTTTTGAAATAAGTTTTGAAAACATGAGGGTATGGATGCTTAGTTTCCATACCACATAGGGTATTGATGCTATTTAGTCGAGTATTTCTTTTCTAAAACAACAATTTTACCCCACACACACATTAATGGTCAAATTATTACATTAGAAATTGTAAAAAAATTGTAGCCCACTAGAATAAATATTTTTTTTACTGTCTACTATAAAATTAAAAAAATACGGAGTAATTTTTAGATGTAGAACCCAACGTCCAGTACGGGTGTGAACGGTTAGTTGAATTAAACTATTTGCTCAATATGATTCGATAAAAAGTGAGAACGGTCTGTTATGATAATAAATTTACGAGATGAAGCTAGACTTGAAGATTAGACTTTTTAGCCGAGAATGACTCCAGTTCAGTACACTAACCTTCCTAGAACTTGGCCTACCAAGCTAGTTGAGTATCACAATCGTTTGAAATTACCAAAGACGATCTTCTCTTCAACTTACTTTTATTATTTACTAGTATTACTTTTTTTTTTATTTGAATCAGATTAGACTAGATCAGATAAAAAATAGTTTTAAATATAATTCTATTAGATCAGAACTTATTTGTAGGCACGGGGTTGGGCTGGTCCAATGTTGTATTAACTTTGTATAAATAAATTTATTAATATTAAAAACATACGGAGTATCAATTAACCATTAAAGGAGGAACACAATAATGAAGTCCAAATGCATGTCTTTTTTAAGGGAATTGCATGATTAATAATGACATTTTCTTATTCTTCTTCTTCACCATTGTCTGCAGGAGAGGCTCTGTGGCCTTATAGATTTCGGCGAGGGATCGAAACTTGGGACGACCTTTCTTTGAGAAATCATTCTTGGTTAATATTGCTTCTTCGTCTGCTCTCTCTTTCACGCCCTTATAATCATTTTTCCTTTTCTTCTTCTTATTAATAACTTCTTCTTCTTTTGCAACCTCCATTCCATCTGAAATATAGTAACAACTATTTTTTTGGATCATTAACCAAGAAATAAATAAATAAATAAGTAAATTAATATATCAATATTCGAGTATGTGTTAAGTACCAAATCCGAAAATAAAAATTTTTAAGATGCCCCCGTGCTTGGAACCACGCACCAATAACGTACTTAAGGGCAAAACCAGTCTTTTATCATGTAACAAACTAATCGAAGCATGCATTTTGCATTACCAAACTTTTTTTGATAATTATTCTAAAAACATTGTGCAAATAATTGTTGCAATCACATTAAAATATATATAACATTAATCATCATAGTGAAACACGAGATTAATATTGAAAGGTCGCAAAAATGTGAAATTACTTGAAATAATTTTCCCTCAAGAAGAGCGTAACAAGAGCAAGACCAACTTAACTCGTATTAAAACGAAGCTTGGTGGTGCTGACCGACAGAGGCTGCATGGAGTCATCATCATCAGCGGCGGCCATCACCGACGACAACAACGTAGATTACACCCTTAACTTGCAGCCATGGCAAGAGCGGTATACAATATACTCCGAGGAAATAGAAGGGAGGGGAGTTTGGCATGAGCTAACTGCTTGGATATTCCTGGCTGCCATGTACTCCACATTGTGAAGTCATAAAAATAAATGCTCCGTATATATTTTAAGGGTATTGCTAAATCCATCCGCTTTATAACTAATTACAAGTATGACTCGAGTAAATCAATGTTCTGTTCATCTTATTTTTTCTGCTTATTGCTTATTTCCATTATAATCGAATAAGATCAGATCAGAAACAACTTTAGTTATAACTACAATTGATCAAATCAGACCAGATTAGATCAGACGAACGGAACGCAGCCTAAGAAAACTTTTATAGGAATAACAAAGAAACAAAATTCTCATCTTTTACAAGGATCACAACTCCAAAGTTTACAATTTGTTGAGCTATACAATGGTTTTGGCGGTTCGATAAGTCAAACAAGTCAAAGTCAGTCAAAGATGCCAAAAACTATTCGAAACGCTGTTTTCCAAACACAGCCTATGTGTAGTTTTAAAGCTTGAACTCGAGCTTGAAACAAGTCGAGCTCATCTCTACTCGGAGCCCATATCATTGAACCCGAGTTAACACAAAAATGGTTTCATTAAATTTATCTTACAACACATATTAGTACAAAAATAATTTTATTGAATTTATTTTTCAAAAATCATTTCAATATGTAATGTAATTAGTGATTGAAGTGTCCAATTTGACTAAAAAAACAAATAGGACGAGTCTGAGACGGAGAAGTACCAAGCAATTGATTTTTTCTCTTCTAACAATGGCCTCTAAGGGGCAGCATCATCTCACCTCCTTCCCTGTCCACACAAACCATCTTGAACTGCAACTAGAATTGCCCAGCAGCTGGCACATTTACATTACAAATCTGTGAAAACAATTTGAAGTCCTGTGACAAATATCACAAATTCACAACAGTATTTTCTATCTTGAAACCTCGGGTCATAATAGGACATCTAGAGTGCTCCGTTGGTAAAATTGATAGTTCTACCCCCCTGCATNCCCCCCCCCCCCCCCCGGGATCGCCAATTTGGGCAGTCCAAATTGGCGATTTGGGGAGGAGGTAGGAACCATCAATTTTACCAACAGGAAACCGTAGACGCCACGGTCAAAATATGACCCAGGCACCTAAGGTCAAAAGATCCTTGCCCGACAAATATTCATCTTCCCACAAAATAAGATTTTTGGACACCATTTTTTAAATCCCACCTTTCAAAAAAACATGTCATTGAGCCTAGTGTTTCGCCTTATTATTTTCATTATACCAACATCGAATTAGAACTCACGTTTTAAATGGCTTGTTACCCAAAATATCTGAGATGAAACCGAAAAAACAAATAAAAATACACCCGCACATATCACCTATTTATTTATAATCCACAAACCGTCTATACTTCCTCTGATTGACCGGTGACATGAGTTCTCTTCATGCGAGATATTCATCGCTTCCTTCAAGGCCTAAACCGTTCTCAATCGTAGGGAGTAGACGGTCTTTGGATCATAAGTAGGTGATATATGTGATCTGTTTTTTATTTTCTCTTTTGATATCAGAAATATAGGATGCAAAATAGAATTCTAACAAGCTAACTCAATACTGGTATAAAGAAAATAATAAGGGGTAAAGGTCAGGTCAATGACATACTTTTTGAAAAGAGAGATTAATATCGTCCAAAACCCAAAAAAAGGATTAATGGCGTCCAACAATCCAAAATAGAACGAAAAGAAAAGAACAAGAATAATTCCTTGAACTAGTAGGGGGTTTTACAATTAATGAATTAAGAACTTGCAAAAATACGCAACTCGCACTTTGAACTCTAAAAATAGCAAATCTTTAATTACTCAGTCATCCCTTTAAGAAAGATTTTGAATGTTAGTCAAAACAAAAATTTTTGGGTGGTAGCCAAAATAACCAGAGGTCAGAGGGGAAGAAAGCATCAATATTGTTTTTCTCCTACCGCTAAATCAAAATTTGAAAAATCCAATTGTACAAAATTAACAAAACACTATTGAAGTTACAGATCAGTTTAGGACCAAACATTTAAGGAAAATCCTCTTATCAAGGAAGACCCTACTTTTAAACCAAAAAAAATAAAAGATACTCCGTAAAAATAGAAAAAGCGGATTACCGTGTGAAATGGAAAAGTTATGGTTTCGTTCCATCATAATATCACAATTTTCAGGAAAAAGAATATTTCAGAAAAGAAACAAATAAATAAAATTAGAAGTAAGCTTAAGAGTTAAGACAATGAGTTTTGGAGGAAAATACCTTACCACCCTTAGTCTACTGGCTTGTGTAATCGTAAGTTTTTTATTTCAACAGATAGATTCCGGGCTTCTCATTCTTCGGTCTTCACTACCAATAGCCCTGAACATGGAGTCATTATAGAGGAGTAATCAGCACAAAACGGTGTCGCAGAAAAATTGTCTTTCTTATTAAATACAGAGTATAATTGGAAAGCATGACACTTGGAATTGGTTATCATATGAACACACCAAGAGAAAGCGAAATATACTTTTCGAACCCAAAAAATTGTAAACATTATTGCACCAGAAAAAAGGCATAATGCTAAATTCTATGGTAGCTTGAGCAAAACAGCAGAAAAGAGGCGTAAGCCTTGGTTTTTAGTACTCTCTTCGTCCTTCTCAAATTTTCCGACTTTCTTTTTGTGAACCCCAACTTATTAAAATCCGATACAACCTATTGCTTAAGTCCCGCATACACCGCATAACATTGCGCAATGAGGCATACACCTTAACCCCATGCATACACCTCACCATATCCTGTTTTAAGCATACCTTCATTGTGCATTACTGGTAAAAATCGTTGAGACGCACCTTGAGGCTCGCCGCTTCACTGCTGGTGTGTCAACCAGTTAGGATTCTGCCAAAGTAGAATATCATGGCCAAAGGACATCATATTTTGTGCTGACCTGCTCATAAAAACCATTTCTTGTACAAATGTATTGCGGAGGAGATGTAATAATTCATTTGAAATGCAAATTCATGCTGAATATCAGAAACTGAAGTGTAGGTTACCGAGTTTTTCATATCCACAGGCTTCCACCAGCATAGCAGTTCTCCC